GACGCCAAGCCGAGACCGAGGTAGGCTCGAGTGCATTGCGAGCGACGCAGCTTCATCGAGCTTCCTGTCTGGCCAACGAGGCTGCCGCCCGGGAAGCTGCAAGCCTGGCTGCACTCATCCTCCCCGTGGTGGCCCGGAAGACCAGCCGAGCGTCGGAGGCTTTGCTTTTGCCATCAACCTTGCGTGCCGTGCCGTGTTGTTGCTGCCAAGCGTGGCCCCCCCCAACGCATGAATGAGAAAGCCAGAGCAACGCCCTGCCATGGTTGGTGTATTGCTCCCCGTGGCAGCTCGGCCTAACTCACCCCCACCCTTCTCCAGCCGCTAGCCACACCACCGTGGCCGGGGCACCCAAAACAAGCGTGCGAGGCCCCACACCAGACTGGGGCACCAAGGCACACAAAGCAACGGCGGCCTAATGGCTCGTCTTGGCTGCGGACAGCGAACCGGAAGAGAGAAAAAGTTTCGAATGGGATGAGGAGCTCGACTGCCTACTTCACCCTCTGGGCCGGAGTCCACACCGTTTCGTGCCCTTCCGGCCTGACTGTCCGTAGCCCTCCGGCTCATCCGTCCCGTTCCCTACAAAAGCAGAACCTCGCTGCTTTGCTTCCACTCTTCTTTCCACCCGTCCCCAACACACCACTGGTGTCAAGCATCACCAGTCCTCTCACCCAATAACCCCACCCGCCTACCTGGCTTGTTCTCTTGACTGCCAAGCAGGTCTGCCCATCATGGTTCTCAAGGCTACCTCGATCCACACCAACTTCCTCTCCAACGGTGAGCAGTATGCCACCGACGATGCTGCCGCCGCCTCCACCTCGGCACAGCAGCCCGAATCTGCGGCGGCCGCCCCGGCGCAGCGTCCCTCTCAGTCGCGCAAGAACAGCCTCTGGAGCCGCAAGAGCCGCGAACAGCCCCGCAAGGACGTCGAGGCTCCCCAAGGCGCCAAGGATGACAACATCATCCTCGTCGTCTGGGACGGCGACAACGATCCCGAGAACCCCATGAACTGGTCCATCGGCCGCAAGTGGCTCACCACCGCCCTTCTCTGCTCCATGTGCCTCTTCATCGGCCTCGCCACTGCCGCCTTCTCCACCGGCATCGGTCCCATGACCGAAGAATTCGGCGTCTCCACCGAGGTCGGCCAGGTCGGCATGCTCCTCTTCAACGGCGCCTTCTCCATCGTCCCGCTCTTCCTCGGCCCCCTTTCCGAGTTCGTCGGCCGCAACCCCATCTACCTGGGCTGCTATGCGCTCTTCACCGTGTGGTTCATCCCGCTTGCCCTCGCCAAGAACATCCAGACCGTCTTGGTCGCTCGTTTCCTCAGCGGAGCCTTCGGTGCCGCCGGTACCACCATCATCCCTGGCACCCTCGCCGACATTTGGAAGACCAAGAACCGCGGTCTGCCCGTCGCGCTCTTCTCGCTCGTCGCCGTCGCCGGTACCGTTGGTGCTCCCCTGTACTGCGGCTACATTCTGCAGGAGAAGGGCTGGCGATGGATCCAGTGGGTTCAGCTCATCGTCAACGGTGCCGTCGTCCTGCTCGAGTTTGCTCTTCTCCGCGAAACGCGCGGATCGGTCATCCTCGCTCGTCGCGCCCAGAAGCTCCGCAAAGAGACCGGCGACCAGCGATACCGCGCTCCCTCGGATCTCGAGGCTCCTTCGCTCAAGGCTCTCCTGCATGCCTCGACCACGCGTGCCGCGCTCCTGCTCGTTTCGGAGCCCGTGGTGTTCTGCTTCTCGCTCTACATCGCCTACGCCTGGGCGCTCATCTTTGCCTTCTTCTCGGCCATCCCCATCGTCTTCCAGGAGATTCACGGATGGGGCGTCGGCAACGGAGGTCTCGCCTACATTGGCCCTCTCATTGCCTGCTTCCTCGCCTTTGGCCTCTCGTTCCACGGCAAGTACCTCTACGACCGCGCACAGACCCGCAACAACGGTGTCGCCGTCCCCGAAGCGCGTCTCTACTACGCCGCCGTCGGTGGTATCCTGGCCACCATCGGCATGTTCATCTTTGCCTTTACCTCGTACGAGCACGTCCACTGGATCGGCCCCGAGATTGCGCTCGTGCCGCTCGTCATGGGTATCTACTTCATCTTTGAAGCCATCCAGAACTATCTCGCCGACGCCTACGGCTCCGAGTACGGTGCCTCGGCCATTTCGGCGCAGGGCTTTGTGCGCAACGCTCTGGCCGCCTCGTTCCCACTCTTCTCGACGCAGCTCTTCCACAACCTCACCGTACCCTATGCTGGTCTTTTGCTCGCGTGCCTGCTGGCTCTCGCCGTGCCGCTGCCGTTTGTGCTCATCAAGTACGGCGCCCAGATTCGTGCGCGCTCCAAGTACGCCGCCTCCGACGACACCGAGGATGGCGGTCCCGTCATTGGCGCTCGTCGTGGCGACGTCGAGAGCAAGGCCATGACCAGCTCGACCAACTCGGAGGACACCACGCGTGCGCCCACCCCAACGCATGGTATGGACGACAGCGCAAAGAAGCTCGACGAGAAGAGCGAGGTCGTTACCGCCGACGGACAGCCCAAACAGTCGGCGTGAGCTGGCTGGTCTCGGTGTAGTGTGGATGTTCCGAAGCTCTGTCGACTACTGCACAAAATTTATAGCGCTCCATCATAATCTCAAGATACCTTGCATGCATTGATACCCGTGTGCGAGATGGAGGGAGATGGGATCGGAGCAATGTGGCAGTTTGACTGCAGGACTGAGGTGTGAGGCCGTATCCCAGATGGTCGACAGCGAGATGTGTCGCTACGGACACTGAAGGAGCGCGGCAAAGCAAGAAGTTCTTGCCTCTATGTAAGATAGCATCGTCGACAGCTCGTACGCTGTGAATCAGTCATTTTCAGAAACGAGGAAGCCTTTGGTGAAGGAAATGTTGCTTGCACACGTGCTACAACAGCATTTGAGGCTGCCGGCTCCGCAGGCATCCCGGGTCGGCCTGTTTGGACGATCACTTGCGCTCTTGCTCGGGACTGGCATGTCCCGAATTGCGTGTACCGGGATCGAGACATAGCGATGCGCCGTCTTGTCGACAGGTGCTCGTTCCCGCAGCTCAACAGCTCGCGATGCGTCGGCCAGTGCAATAATGGGCGCTGTGTTGAGCACAGTGCCTCGCCGCCGCATGAGAGAGCGCAGCAACAAGCTACCAGCGTCAGCACAGTGCGTACCGTGTCCTTGCGCGCGAGGCTGGACAAAAGGCTTGCGGACGTGGCTTGTGCAAACGCATCCTCCAACCTGCACCACCCAATACGAAAGGAGGCTCAGGCTCCATCTCAAATTCCATTGCATAGCAACGACGTGCTCAATCCCCCTCGTGTCCTTCGCCAGATCCAAAGGCAAGCGTGACAACGCACAACGCACAGCGCACCTCAAAAACCCAGCCCGATACGACAGACGAATAGACATTGCGAATGCATTGAAGACTACTTGATGCGCCAGGTAAACAAGAACCCAGTAAACGCAGCGAGACCGACAAACCAGAATCCTAAATGATAGTTCCACGGCCAACTCTTGGCATCAGGCCCTCCTTCGATACCCTTTGCCCAAACCAAGCCTCCGACAATCGGTCCGACGAATCTTGCGGCCGAGCTTGTAGTCTGTGCCAGACCGTTGGCAAGCGGGGTGAGGTGGGGTGGCGTCATAGCGTTGATCAGCACGCTGACGGCGGTGAAGGCACACACGTTGGCCAACCACCTCATGGCAGCAAACATGATCATGCCCGTCATAACAAATCCGTCCGTTTCGGGATGCAACATCCCGCGCAAGAGCGGGAAGAGCGTATAGCACGGCAGATAGATCGCCGTACCCAAGCGCAACATGGCGAGGTGCGAAAAGTTGCCCTGAGGAGGACCCACTTTGGGGTAGAAGACAAACTGGAATATCAGCTGACAGAAGGCCATGGCTGAAATCAGTTGCGCATAGTGCGATGCTGTCAACCCCAATCCTCCCGAAGGCTCGGGCGTCACCAAAAACGCCATAAACACCTGGTCGAACGTCGAAGAGTGAAACGCCATCAATCCGTAGTGCGCAATGATCGCAGCAGGAAGCAAGGTGAACAGCGAGGTTGGGGGTGATTCCAACACGGCACTGCGTCGATCGGGCGATGCTGATGCCGAGCCTCCGCGTCGCTGCGATGGAACCATGAGACTGTTGCGATTCGACTGGCTTTCCGGAATACCTGCCAGCGTGGGATCCCACGCACTGTCCGCCCGTGCCTGCCCGCCACCCAAAGGCGCTGGTCCAGCTTCGTTGGCGGGTGACATGGGATTGTACGCCGGCGACAGGACGGGACTCTCGATACCCGTGTTGGCATACAGGCTCGGCACGCGCGCGGTGGCACTGCTCCTGCGCATCGAGCGCGGCCTTGACCCGGCGGACCTGCCGGCATCGGAATAGCCGGCACGACTCAGCTTGCGCTGCGCAAAGTTGAGCGGCGCCAGATGCGTCGGCGCCAACAGCGCCGATCCCTCATCCGGCTCGTTGTCAAACTCATCTTCGTCCTCCTCGTCGATCGACTGCTCTGCCAACTCGGCGACGGAATCGTTGAACACGCTGCCGTCGTCGAACGACTGGTCGTCTTCGTCGTCGTCAAACACGTCCTCGTAGGCATCGTCGCCGTTGATGGCGGCGGCGACCCAGAGGTCCGAGATGGTGAATACCGAGTCGTCCTGTGCGAGCAGGAAGCGCTGTGCAAAGCTGAGCCCAGGCCGCTGGCCGATCTCTTCAAAGTCCGGTGCGTACTGGGTGGTGGAGGAGAAGGAGTTGCGGCCTGCGGTGCGAGTGTGTGCGAACGACTCGGTGCGTGCGCCGGCGGTGGCGGTGGCGGCGGGTGCGGCCGAGGAGCGCGACATGTGCCGATCGTATCCGTACGCGGAGCCGCCGCCGAGGATGGCGCGCTGACGCTCCTCTGTGCGCGAGAAGAGACGCTGCCTTCGGGGCACGTCGGCGCGGGAGAAGGCCGAGTCGTTGGGGGCGGTGTTGTTGTGCGTGATGACGGTGCCCTCGGTGGGCGCGGGCGAGGGCGGGCCGCCAGTCTCGTAGTCGACCTGCTGGGTAAAAGTGCGCGGGAGCTGTTTGGGCGCGCCGGTGTGGTCGGGAGTGGAGGTGCCACTGGTGGGGCGCGAGTGCTGGTCGCTGGTAAAGTGACGCGAGAGGCTGAGGCTGGACCC